CGATGGAGCACAGATCCCCAATTGGGGTATACTAAGGCGTGTTCAGAGTCCGCGATCCGTCGCAGGTTTCGCTGATTTTCGCGATTTGCGCGATTCACGCGACGGGTCACGGAAATCACAAGTGCCCGATCAATACTGCAAGGTGTTCTCCAATCCTGCCGCCACTTCTGCTTGATAGTGATGGCTGAATGACGACTGCTCATGATTTCATATTCAGTGTTTCAAATGTTCACACACTTGCAATTTTTGCGATCCGTCGCAGGTTTCGCGCAAATCGCGAAAATCAGCGAAACCTGCGACGGATCGCGGACTCTGACACCAGCCTAACAGTGGCAAAAAGTGACTAGTAATCCCAAAAGAGCTAGTGAGGAAAGTGTCGTACATTTCCGAATTGCTCTGATACTTGATCGACGAGTTCTTTGAGAGAATGCTCCGGATCAGAGGCAGATATCCAGGCATATAACGAAGTATCAGAAAATGAAGACGGCTCGACGTTACCACGGGAGTGAGCCAGAAGTGTTCCTGGTAGACGGATCTACAACAAGTCTACACTTTTTGAACAACTCAACTCTAATGAATGTAAGATTGAGTTAAAAAACCAACACGTTTGAGCTGGTCGATTACTTCGTCAAAATTCTGCAGCAGATCAGTAGCTTTCGGTTTTTGGTGATGTACCTAAGTTGAGACTCTTCAATCATTGCAATCTCTCTAACATTATTATTGACAAAAAAGTTAACGCTATGCCTGGAACATGGCCACAAACCTTTTCACACTGGTCTTTATGGCAATAAAAAGAAAAAGAGAAATTAACTAAACGAAAATTTCATACTGCTCAGAACAAATCCTAAATGAATCATATCTAAACATTAGGTGAACCGTGTAGTTTATAGTTATGTAAGTCTCTAGCTAATTTGTTGATATCGAAAAATACCAAGAAATTACGATATAAGCGATTGGCAAGCGCTTATCAGCTGGCAGTCCATATGGGCTGCCACCGTTCCCATGTGTTAAATCTCATTGCGCATCGAACCCAGCTCATATTAGTCCGTATCAGTT